AAGCATGACAGATAATTAGTGAAACAGATCCGGTTCAGCTGCTGTTTATCTGTTGGTTTCTATGGAGGCTGTAAGCTGTTATTTTTGCTCCTCCATGTTGTCACAGACGCTACCAGTGGACGGGATGGGCGGGGCTCAGTCTAGTGTTCTTATTCAAGTCTGTGTATACAATATGTTAGGCATAAAGCAATAATATTCTTATGGGTTCTTTGAAATTTAATACAGACCTGAATACATTTATTGATGTCTTTCTTCATTAATAAAAAAAACATTTGGCTCCAGTCACTTATCAATGATTCATCAGTCCCACAAACTTCTCCTAGACGGTTTGAAGCTTGTCCACGTTCTTTTGGTGGGCATGGTGCCATCATAAAGTCATGGATCTTGACCTTGACATTCAGCTTGAACATATCTAGGTGGTTTCCTCGGCTGCTTTTCTACCATCTGCACTATACTCTGATCACTTTCGCATTTCTTCTTGTGTCCACATCCTSGGAGGTTGGCTACAGTCCCATGAACCGTTTACTTTGTAATAATATTTGAGATGGCCTTTATCTTCAGGTCAGTCAGGCATCAGTCATACTAAACATCTYCATCTTCTGCTGCTTATCCATGGGTGGGTCATAGAGGCAACAGATCTAAAGAAAGGCCCAGACATCCCTCTCCACAGCAACACTTTCCAACTCATCCTGAGGGACCCCGAGGTGTTCCCAGGACAGAGAGGATATATAATCCCTCCACAGGGCCTCCCAGCTTCCCAGGGATGATGGAGGTCCTCACCCTGTCTCTAAGGCTGAGCCCGTCCACCCTACCAAGAAAGCTCATTTTGGACGYTTGTATCCATGATCTTGTTCTTTCGATCATGATCCACGCCTCATGAGGGTTGGAACGTAGACAGACCAGTAAATGCAGARCTTTTGACTTTTGACTCAGCTCTTTCTTCACAGTGACCGACCGGAGCAACGCCCTCATCACTGAGAATGAGGCCCCAATCTGTCCATCCTTCACATTTCTTCTTTAATTTCTCACATACTGTAAGCATGCAGTCACACATGAGACTTCTGCTTTAAAATGAATCACTTGATAAGACATGAAACAGTTTCATTGAGCTGTAAGGAAACAACACATTTTTCCACATCTGTCACCGCCTGGTTCACTTTGTCTGATAAAACATAAAAGTTAGAGAAACAAAGTAACAGTTGTTTCCATACTGATCCTGCTTTACACCTGTATAATGCCTGCATACAAGAAACAGGATAATTAGATTCCTGTCTGTCTCCACTGGCTCCTACAGGCCATCAGCTGCCTGAAGCGAGCTCACTACTTGTCTCCCTTTGACTGGAAAGTGTTGTACAACCTGGGGCTGGTRCACCTGACCATGCAGCAGCACGCTTCAGCCTTCCACTTCCTCAGCGCAGCCATCAACCTGAACCCTCGGATGGGAGAATTATACATGTTGCTGGCAGGTACCAAGAAATCCCAAGTAGGGGTCTCTGCAGAACATGTTGTCCTGTGGGTGGAGACGGCCCAAATCGTCATTGGCGGAGGTCTTAAAGTGGGCTGAGATGGCCCAAGAGATGCGATTGGTCGGAATGACGGTGGGGTTTGAGGCTGGAGGCAGCGGGGAGTAGCTTGGACGAGTCGGGCAGGAAGTAACATGTTTTTTTAAAGATTAATTTTAGTCATAATTTGAGAAAGGAAARTGCTTGCTGCACGAAATTTGAACATCATACATGTGAAAGGATGGGTAACAATATGGCTTGGTTAAAACATCTCTAATCAGCCTGTAAAAAGATAGCTAAAAATCAATATTTTTTACAGGCTGATTAGGGRTGTTTTAACCAAGCCATATTGTTACCCATCCTTTCACATGTATGATGTTCAAATTTCATACAGCTACWGTAGCTCTTTCCTTTCTCAAGTTATGACTAAAATTTATCTTAAAAAAAACATGTTACTTCCTGCCCGACTCGACCAAGCTACTCCCCGCTGCCTCCAGCCTCAAACCCCACCGTCAATCCGACCAATCACGTCTCTTGGCCGTCTCTGCCCACAGGACAAAACCTACTGCAGAGACCCCTTACTCATAAATCCTGCATCTTATTTTTCTGCACGTCTTTCCAAATCGTGGCAGCTGTTTGACTGAAGACGTCTCTTCGTTGTGTTGTTTTCAGTTTGAGGTGTTGGTCTGTGTTTTCAGCCTGTGCGTTTTGACAAATGTTTGCTGGTTCGTTCATAAATAAATGGCGGCGATGTTGAGTTTGTCTGTGTTCACAGTGGCGTTGACCAATTTGGAGGACATGGAGAACGCCACCAGAGCTTATGAACAAGCTGTGAATATGGATGAGTGAGTGTGATTTCAGTTTTCCTCTTATTATGAAACTTAAACATAATCAAATGATTGATTTGTTKTTGTTTTTTCCAATAGATCCAACCCGCTGGTCAACCTGAACTTTGCAATATTCCTCTATAACCATGGAGACAAGAAGAGAGCTCTGGATCAGTACCAGGAGATGGAAAGGAAAGTGAACCTGCTTCGAGACAGCAGCAGCAGCTTTGAGTTTGACCTCGAGGTGCTGCAGATCCTCCTCCTGTGGTCGGTCGTCTCTACGTGTCACGACTCGTTGCTAAACGTGTCTGTTTTTTTTTTCCTCCATGGCAGCTGATGGATATGGCTCAGAAGATGGGAGCTGCACTGCAGGTCACAGAGGGTCTGGTGTGGACTAAACCAGGCAAAGACTCCAAATCTAAAGCTCACTCTGCCACGGCCACCAAAAGCCCCGGCACTCCTCTGGGTACGAACCAAGCTCTGGGTCAGGCCATGTCTTCAGCTGCGAGCTACAGCAAGAACATCCAGCTGCCCACAGGTACAACCTACCAACTCATGATTCACATGAAATATGTGTTCAGTTTCATCCTGTTTGCGTGTTTAGTCGATTTATGATCTGGCTGATTGATTTTTTTACACAATTAGTTTTACTTTTAATTATATATTTTTTACATACTGCAATTCTATGACATTTTGTTTTAGCCAATCCAGTAATGTTTTACAAAGTTGTCAGTTTTTTTATTTGTTTTATTTATCTAAAGAGAACATATCAGGCAAAATCCACTTTTTAACCGTTAAAAGCATTTTGTTGTGTACCTGGAGTGTCTGAGTGCAGAAAAATTTAATTTAGTCTCTCCCAGCGCTGCATATATTCTGTTTTAGGTCATGCTTTTCGTTCAGTTTTCTCTGTTTTCTGAGACAAACTATTACGGCAAAGGTTTTGTGACAGAACTGCCAAATAAGGTAATGGTGTGAAAAGGCCTTGTTTGGATTTAAAGAGACAGCCTCAAAACGAGTTGATCTCAGAGACTCCTCAGAGAAGGGGTGAAAGAGGGGCTTGTGGAGTTACAATGAGGAGGAATTCGGACTAAAAGCTTTGCAGTTCCGCTTTATATAGACCCCAACTGAAGGATTTAAATGTGAAAAAGAAGGATTTAAAAGACGGCATGTCTCCTTTTAATCAGCGTTTGTTCAGAGCAGTGTTGTTTTCGTTAACGATGACGATAATGAAACATTTTCGTTGACGCCCCCTTTTTTCATGACGATAACGAGACGGTAACGAAGTAAACATAGCTCTTTGATGACTAAGACGTGACGAAACGTGTGTGAGTTTTCATCGATGAGACTGGACGAAAATGTTAGTCGGTGGTCTGTCAATCATTTAGAATGCAGAGTGGAGGGAGGGACAGCAG